CTGAAATTGCGTTTTCAGAGAGAAAATCGAGAATTTCAATGTTTCAGAAAAAAAAACCTTTTTTCGAAATTTTTTTTTTGGATTTTTCTTATTTTTAAGACTAAACTATTTGAAATAGGTGAAAACTAACTTTAAATTCGAAATTAACACAAAAATCTACTCTAGAATTCGTTTTCTCTGCGTCTCTAACTCAGTTTTTGAATTTTCCTAGGATTACTGTAGCTTCGATTCTGTGCAAACACCAAAATCTGCAAAGCCCTCGGGAAAACAACTTTTTAGGGGTAAAAGTAGGTGGGAAATTCGAATTTAACATTTAAAAATGTCCTAGAATTTGTTTTCATCGAGAAACTTGTACCTTTTTAAGGCGCATTGAGCAAAAAACCTCCAAAAGGGGGCGGAGCCTAATTTTCATCAAATATAGTCATGTTTATACTCTTTTTGAAGCTCTCTTCGAGCTGAATCCGAATTTTCTAAACATACGGCGTCAAAATTCCCGAATCGGCCATATCGTCAAAAGTGGGAAACATATCTCGAACGTCGGATGAGACATCTCGAAATAGCAGAATATAAAATACGGTCAAATATCGAGCCACCGTTTGGTTGATCAATTTTTGCTCGTGTCGAGTGAACTGCAAATTTCAGATTTTCTAGATTTTCAGACAATTTCAGACAAAACTTTTAAAAAATTTCCCAAAAAAAAATTTTTTGTTTCCAATTTTTTGAGCTGAACTATTTGAAGCAGGCTAAAATCAATGTCAAATTCAGTTTCAGCACAAAAATCTAGCCTAGAAATTCGTTTTCTCTGCGTCTCTAGCTCAATTTTTGAATTTTCCCAGGATTACTGTAGCTCCGATGCTGTGCAAACACCAAAATTCCGAAATCACTCTAAAAAGCGTCTTTTTAGGGGTAAAAATAGGCGGGGAATCTGAATTTGGAACTGAAAAAAATCTTGAGTTCTGTTTTCACCGAGAAACTTTCGAAATAAAAAAAAAATTTGGACAAAAACTCAAAACAAAAACATTGGTTTGAATTATTAGCCAAACCAATACAAATAGGCCAAAATCAATGCCAGCTTCCATTTCAGCACAAAAATCTAGCCTAGAATTCGTTTTCTCTGCGTCTCTAGCTCAATTTTTGAATTTTTCGGGATTACTGTAGCTCCAATTCTGTGCAAACACCATAATTCCAAAACCACTCTGAAAGCGTCTTTTTAGAAGTAAAAATGAGCGGAGAATTTGAATTTCGCATCTAAAATAGTCCTAAATTTCGTTTTCATGGAGAAACTTCTACTTTTTAAAGGCGCATAGAGCAAACATTTTGATTTTTGGCTTTAAAAAAGGGGCGGAGCCTAATTTTTTCAAAATTACAGATTTTCTGAAAATAAGGGTTATGACCTACCGCTTCTTTATTGAAATGCTGCTTAAACATCAGTGCCACATTTTCAGGCCATCCTAAACATCGGAACGTCTCCAGCCATCTGGAAATTTGGAATTTTGGAAAATTTTTGAAATTAAAAGTTTTTGGCGCCAAGCCAAAAGTACCGTACCTTGTCAAACAATTGAAGATCATATAGGAAATCAAAAACATCAGCGTTCCATCCATTGGAACATCCTTGGTCAAATCGAACAGCGTTTTGTAGTATTGCTCATGTTCGGTGCCCTGGAAGGAGTACTGTAGTTTATGGAAAAGCGATGTAACTCAGCGGGTTTTAGTCCAAATTTTATGAAATTTATATATTTTCAAAGCTCTTGTGAAGCGCTTCAAAATGAGTACAAACATGGCTATATTTGGGTAAAATAGGCTCCGCCCCTTTTGAAGGCTTTTTTGCTCTATGAGCCTTAAAAATGGGATTTTCTAAATGAAAACGAAATTTAGGACATTTTTTAACTACAAACTCAAGTTCTTGCCTATTTTTACCTCTAAAAAATGTTTTTTTCCGAGTTTTTTGCGAATTTTGGTGTTTGCACAGAATCGGAGCTACAGTAATCCGAAAAAATTGAAAAATAGAGTTGGAGAAGCAGAGAAAACGAACGCTAGACTAGATTTTTGTGCTGATTCTGAATTTGGCATTGTTTCAAAGCTATTTCTGGCGGTTTAGCATAAAAATTCGAAAAAATTTAGAACATTTTTCTTTAAAAACTTTTTTTCCTGAAAAATGAAATTTTTTGATTTTCTTCATGAAAACGAAATTTGAGACTTTCAATATTTATAAATTCAAATTCCTCGCCTATTTTTACCCCTAAAAAGGCGTTTTTTAAAATGATTTGCGAATTTCGGTGTTTGCACAGAATCGAAGCTACAGTAACCCGAAAAATTTAAAAATTGAGTTAGAGAAGCAGAGAAAACCGATTCTAGACTAAATTTTTGTGCTGATTCTGAATTTGGCATCATTTTTGACCTATTTCGAATGGTTTAGCCTAAAAATTCCTTGGAAACTCACTTTCAGCCCATAAACATAAACCGAATAAAGGACAGCCATGAGAATGGTCCATCCAAGTGTCTCTCGCCAAATCAATTTCCATAAACTACCCTTCCATTTGAATATCACTACGATTACAGCCCATGCT